AGGAAAAGTTCACGCCTAAGATCGTCTCTTAGACCTTGTCTAAACCTACTCACAGTCTTGGCCTCATCCTCAATGACATGACATTTCATTCGAAATTCCTCAAATTCAGTAATATACTCAGTCACTAACCGATTATCTTGTTTAAGGGCAGTCTATTGAGTAAAAATTTCAAAATCTAAGTAACCATCAAAAGTAGAAACACCTACTTTATTGTTTCTAAATGAACGCTCCTTATGACGTGGAAGAGAATGAATACTGTGACGATCATAACCTCGTTTTCGCTCATGAACCTGACCCCTATCCCTACGATCGTGTCGAAAATATTTTTGATCACTTTGTCGGCAATGATTTTGTCTATTATAGGACACTTCAAAATTATTAACATCAGTCGAATGAGGGATTTGCTTAAACTTGTTCAGACCAGCAGCTAGCCTCCTACGCTCTTCAAGATTAGCAACCATCTTTGTTTGGACAGCCACTAATTGATTTTGAAAATGTTGTTGGTTAGTGGCAAATTGTGCTAATTGTCTGGTAAAAGCATCAAATTGGGATGAGTCCATGGTCAAGTTATGGAAACTAGATATGATAAGACGACCTCTACACACTTGCATACAACATACTACCAACTAAATGAAGTGTATTGGAGCTAGATTCAACAAAACGATTATTATGCAAGTGCATGCAATGAACGACATGAGGTGTATGGAGAGATCAATAAACAACTCGTTTTAAAATGAAAACAAATTTATTTTTTATCATTTTTTTTTTTTTGGATTATGTGAATCAAAATATGACAAGCAAATACTGCTGATACATGTAAAATTGCAAAGCAGGGGTCAAATACTAGTCAAAAATTCGATCACATAAAATAAGTGGGGTAAATGGGGATTTAACAAATCAAGTAATTGATTACGTGAACTTTAGATAAAATGATGAGAATTCAACAAGTCAAGGGATTCGGTCACGTGAACTTTAGGTAAACTTCGAATACAGCAGCACAAAAAAATTAATTGATGCATTTTAAAATAAACAGTAATATAAATCAACGATAAATAAACGGTAACTCCCCTATTGTTCGTTGATGTAAGTGAGCACCAAGTAATTGATCACCAATGACAAGAAATAGTCGCTCCCGTTCTATCGTTAAATTAGCTGAACTAACCAACAGGTCAAAAAGGTACCTACAAAAATATGTTAGAAAATATTTTTTTTCCCACTTTTCTCTTTTTTTTTTCAACTAAGACAAATTACACAGTATAATAAAAATACGGACCCATATCGAGGCCCAAAGAACCAAAATTAAAATGTACGAGACAAACAAGACACAAATCGAGGCCCGACTTAGAGATTGAGCCCAATTGACAAAAATAAATTGCACTTATAATAAAGAGAAAATTACCTAAAACCTTTCTTTTCAATATTACAATTCAAAAATAAGGGGATAAAGTTTTACAATTCAAAAATTAGGTGATAAATATGATTATTAATTAATATTATAAAACTAAAAATTAATTTATATACACCCCCACCCCACCCACACACCCCCATTTTAAATCCCTAAATCATCCGACACTTCTCTTTCTCTCATTCTCTCTCTGCCTTCTATGGTGATGGCGGCGCAGAAGGGCGGTGGCGGTAGTGCCTAGTTGGTGTTGGTGGTGCCGATCTTGTGATGGGTGGTTGGTTGCGGTAATGGTGGCGGATCTGGCGACAGCATCAACTGCTCATCTCCTCCTCGTTGTTGATCCTCGTCTTCACAGCGATGTTCGCTGCTGTGATGATGTCGTTCGTCTCTCTCCTCTCCTTGACCTGATGATGAAGACAATTGAAGTGGTTTAATAATACAATATTTGCTTAGCAAAACCATGTTACAGTGGTTTTGTGCTTGCAGTGTATGACTTGGTTGATAAAATTGTCTTCAAGTTCACCTATTCGCCTTAAAACATCTCATCGTCAAAGTTTGTTGATACAGGCTGTTGTCTCTTCTCTGTTTTAAGATATACATTGCTATGTTCACTGTATGAAAAATAACAAACAGAAGTACTATGCTCATTATTGGTTTATTTGCCTCAACTCTAGAAGAAGGTGGAACACTTCACTTGCTCATGCTTTTTGTTGGTCATTTTATTTCAAATGGATAACATATTTACTGTATTGTAACATTTTATTGTATTTTCGAAAATGTATAGGATGAATATGTAGTTTGAATTCTCAATTTTCTACTAGTGGTCTGAGATTGAGGAGATATTTACTAGACCTGCATTTTTCCACATATTGGATATTGACAATCCCCCACCCCCGGTTTCTGGGGCATCTCTGCCAAATGTTTAGTTTAGTTTAGTTTAGTTTGCAAAATATGATGGATTTCTGCTGTATCTGAAGAGCTTATGAGTGGAATTTAATTTGCTAGGATTAATTATTTTTTTTCTGTTTAGATTCATCAATGTCAATTGTACCACGTTCTACCCTGCACTGAAGCTTTGATCAAAGCAAACTGAGTTGTATATTATGTATACTATGGGTGATGAAAATCCTTTGAAAGGTGGTGGTGGTGGAGGCGTAGTCGGCGCCGCTGTAAGAAGGCTGCAACCGGAGTTGGTGGTGTCGGCGAACCTTTTCTAATCTATGACCAGATCGCAATTTGACTACCGGGTAGTTCGTTGTAACTGTTTGTGACCGATTATGCCCTTTTGTGACCAATTGTGACTCGTTGTGATCTATTGTGCCCTTTTGTGACCGATTGTGACTTGTGAATTGTGACTCGTGGTGACCAATTGTGACAAAAAAATTCTGGAAAAATTTGGAAGTTGGTCGTCGAAACGAGCGTCGGGGTGATCGTCGGAATAAGCCATCAGAGTGATTGCCGGAGCGGCCATCGGAGTAATAGTCGGAACAGTCGTCAAAGTGTCATCGGAGCAGTCGCCGGACCATCGCCGGAGCGGTGCCGGAGATGGAGGGAAGGTGGTGTAGTGAGGTGGTGGGGGTGGGTGAGGTGTCATGGGGTGTAAATAATTAATATATATTATATTATAATTTGATATTTAATAAATCTATTTACCACCTAATTTTTTAAATAATTAGACAAATTTGTTAGTTTTGAAAAGTAATTCTTATATGTAGGTTTTGTGTATTGTTCCCTATAATAAAAGTGAGGCCAAATTGAGGCCCAATTACTAAATCAAATGAACTAAACGAAGCAGGACCAACCCAAGATGTGACCCAAATTTGGAGGCCCCAAAACACTAATTAAATCACTCACAAGTTACAATTGGGGCCCTGGAGGCTGGACCGAATCCTTCTTCTTCCTCTGGCGGGGCGTTCCACTGTAATTGCTCTTCTATTTTTATTTTTATTTTTTTGTTTGGAGCTATAGTCGGAGACTTGAGCTTGGGAGTTGCCGGTGGGTGAGGAGATGTACACGGTGGGTGGGTGCGTTGCAATTTGTTGCAGCAACAGTAGCGGGGAGAGGTGAATTGGTTTGATTGTTGGTTGGTCGTGTGTGGTAGGAGCGACAGGCGGGGTGTGAATGTTGGGGGTTATGGTTTGCTTTGCACGGGTGGTGAGTTGGACTTGGGTGTTGGGTGCAATGCTTACTGCTTGGGGTGAATGGGTCGGTTTTGGGTTTAGATGGCGACGGTGATTTTTCGGAGTTGCTGTCTATGGGGCCGTGCGGTGACTGGTGGGAGCTGCTTTCTGTGGATTGATTGTTTAGAAAAATTCTTAAGTTTAGCTCTGATACCAAATTTGATGCAGGATGAATTAGAATTTAGGGTGAATTAAAATTAAAGCCAAAAAGTTAGAAAGAAAGCAAGAAGAAGCAAGAAGAAGAGAAGAGGGGAGGGGAGGGGAGGGGGAAGAAGAGGGGAGAAAAATGGCTGCAAGCCAATTTCTAATTCATCATATTCATCAACTGTCCAATAACAATGAAAAAATCCAATAAATAGTAAAACTCGACTTACTAATGACGGGTTTGGGCTGATCCACTACTACAAGTCCAATAATAGAAAACAGAAATAATAAAGCCCAATAACAATAAAATAAATCACGATGATGATGTCCGCATCATTTGGGTTTCAGAATAACTAGGAATTCATCATGATAAAAACGGATGAAAGAGCTTCTCTCTCTCTGAGGAGTTAAGCCCCTTGTACAGGGGAGATTGCCTGGGAGACAGGTGATTCTTCGTGTACATGTAACAGGGTTGCTGTCTAAAGCTCAATTCCACTGCAGTCTGCAGACGTAACCAGAGTTATAGGTTGAGGACCTTTATACTTGGGTCTGTATTCTTGCTTTGTCCAACATGTGTACCTATGTTACAATTTGGAACACACAATCAAATGCCAGTTGTTTCTTGAATTCTGTTTAACTAATTAGACGTATCTCATATATAATTGATAGTTCAAGCCCTTCCGGGTGTTGATTTAAGGGTTTTCCCGACTACTCATGTGTGCTTATTTGGGTTGTCATGGATAAGCGTGCTTTCTTGAAAAAACCTAGATGTAAGATGTTTTATTTAGTTGGATCTCTCAATTCAACGTATTCACTACAGTATTGTAGTTGGGTCATAATTACATTTTGTTGTTGACACATCTGATGGCCCATGGGAATTTGGTGACTATTAGGCTCTACTTTATGTGGACCATGTGGTTCTTAGACAAGTTAAATGACTACAATTTGGATTGGATACTGATTTTGTGACTTGGTGCGTCAATAGTGGACACATATTCAAGCTCTTAATGATTAATGTCAAATGAGAACAACGCTATAATTCTAGCATTGCTTATTTTCGTGTATTGTTGGTTGGGGAATGGTTTGGTTGAAGTGGGCTTGTCTTTCATATGGATGTGGGTTTAGCAGTTGAAATTTGGTGAGGAACGACAAAAGTCGGAATTCTCGACTCTTCACATTGTTCTAATACTATGTATTGATGACCAAAAATATTGTTGTTTCACTGTCTCTTTGTAATAATTTGATTTCTTCTGTGTAGGAGAGTGATATCAACCTTGATGGTGAACTGGATCGTGAAGAATTTGTAAAATTCTTGCTCAGGATAACCCACGATACATTCGTCACTGTAAGTAGGGGATTAATCACTACCCTGGCTGTTACTCCAACAATCGCTTTGATGACAAAGAAGACGACAGAGAACTTTCCAGGAGTCGGGAAGGCCGTACAAAAGTTGCCGAATTCAGTCTATGCATCCATAGTGACCCTGGTGATTGTCATGTTTCAACAAGGTGTAGGGAAAGCATAGAAAATTAATTTCCTCTACATGTAAAGATAGCTGGTATTATTGCAAGCCTGTTTAATTGATTATGTCAATCGATAACTTGTTAATTGTACTGAATAAAACATAGAATCTGCTCATAAGAAGATACAACCGTTAAAATTATCTTTGAACGTTTGCTTTGTAGTAGTAGTTCTCATTGGCTTCATGCAAATCGACTGCGGCTAGATCTCGTATAGAAATTTCTCACTAAAATATTAGAACAATATATTGAATACCTTCAGATTGAAAGTCTTGTAGCTATATATTCTTTTCACGTTTTTTGAAGACTATCAAAACATCTCAAGTTCTTAGCTTGTACGATACATACACGCCCAAATAGACAAATGTCTTGCTTCTGCCTTTTCTGTCATTCCCCACCCATTATTTGATCAGCTTTCCCGGCAAACCAAATTTCCAGGCCAAAAATACACCCGTACTGTCACGCAGGATTACTGTCAGAAATCGAAGGAACCTTTAATACCATCTAGACTCTCTCCAAGAGATACCCTGCCATAAACGAAGTCATGAGAATAATGGAGCATTATAAATGCAGACACAATGAATTATTTGGATAAAAGATGAGTAGTTTATTTCCAGCTAAATGTTCAGGAGAATGCAACAAGCAAAAATTATCTTTTGGACTAGGGTTGGGCAAAATGTCCGAACCGAACCGAACCGAGCGGGTTTTTTTAAATGAAATACCCAAACGGGTATCCGAATCGAGAACCGAATGGTTCGGTTCGGTTCGGTTCGGTTCTCGGTTCTAGA